CCCTGCAGTTCACCTGTCAGGAGTTCCCACAGGGTAGGGTCGGACACCCCAACCTGCTGCAGTCATCCTGGCCACCGTGCCTCTTCCTTAGGTGACTTTGATGTGATTGGGCAGTAAAGTGAGGCTGAGGAGGAGTCCCCTGAGGTGTAATGACCAGTAACTGAGGAGCCATAGGCTGTGTGCATCCCTGTTGTATGTGTCAAGTTTCTCAACTCCAAAGTGACACTGTCAAATGCTTCACTACACAGACAAGAATGCAATGTGTATGCTTTCTCCATCTGTCTCCTTTTCATATTCAAGTGTTGTTTTCCAGTCACTGTTTTCAGTGTGGAGAACTAAAGTGCTGCTACTGGTCTACAGAGCTCCAATGTCTCTTGGTTGCTATGGATTTGTTTTCAATTGTGAGCCATTTCAAAAGACTCTGTTGCTCAGGAGATACATGCCACATTCTCTCCACACTGCCTCCTGTAACACGGCTCTCTGGAGTCTGCCTGCTCACAATTCCCCCACAACTTTGACCGAGCTTTGAGGTCAGTTGCCCCCACTGATCCCCCCAGCTTTAACTATCCAGTCCTGTAACATCTGCAGAACTTGAGAACGGATAGTTTCTAAATGGCACCCCAAGCACTGGGGGAAGGCAGCCAAGGAATTTGGGGATTTCCATCTATGCATACCTCAGGGCTCCTTTCACCATGTCTAAGTTAATGGACCCTGATTTAGCTTTGGCTGGCCAGCCTGCCACACAGCTATGCCCTGCATTTCCAGTTCTCCAGGCTTAATTTTTAGTGTTCTTCTTTCCATTTCATAAATGCAGACAGTGTTTTATATGTAAGGCATCTTGCGCTTGCTGCTTTGCATAGTCAGACTTTTATTGTTGAAGAAGACTTGCATTGCTTTAGGGAGAGGGAAATGTCAGTTTGTTGTAGAGATCCTTAAGTCTCTACTGAACAGCCTCTTCCAGAGCTGACACATAAACTTAGGGGTGGAAGGAAGAGAGAGAGCAGACAGGGACAGACAGAGTAAGTTAGTTTTACAAAAAATGATGGATCTCATCCAGAAGCTCCCATGGGTAAGATGACATACTTTGCGTCACTCTGAGGGGTTTTGTTGTTGTTGTTGTCCATATTTCCATCTTATAAATGTGTTTGAGGGGCAGGAAGTTCTTTTCTTTTGATTTATGTAGAGTTGTGTTTCACCTTCATAATTTCAGAGGGAAAATAGCCAATAAGCATAAGCATGGGATTGTTAGTTACTGGAGTCACAGCCAGCTAATTCTGGCTGATATGTACAATAACTAATGTTTTCTAAGCAAAAATGACTTGGGAAACCAGTAACAGCTTGTGATGCTTGCAGAGACTGTTCCACATTCCAAAGAATCCTCTAACATATAGCTAAATCTTCTGGGATAGGTTGAGAGAAGTATAAATAAATACTTGGCCTTTTAACTTTCATCTGCAGTAGTGTATGTAGTCTGATGATCCCAGATTCTAGGGTAGATTTCCAACCAGCTTCATTATAGGTAAGATTTTATGATTGTTCCTGGCTGTGAAAAATAGTGTGTGTTTAAAACCTGCCTCTTTTGTATCCATTTTTACATTGTATCCAGTTTACAATCATTTAAAAAGAAAAAAATCAAGTAATATATACTTATGGAAATTTCTTAATGAAACCACTGTTTTCATACAGTTAATACACACAGTGACACCAAAAAGAGAAAACAAAAGAAAAAGGTTGAATGATTAGGGTATGAAAATAGCATTATGCATCATCGGATTTTCAGAATTTTACTGAATGCTGAAGATTCACCAAGGAAATATAATCATAGTATAATTCTTGCTCAGAATGTCCCATATGGTAATGGCTACCTGTTAACTTGAAAGCTGCCTTCTTATACTCACAGTTTGTGTCCACCTCTCCAAATGCTGTAAGTGTATGTTGTTCTATATTTACCTCAGCTGTACTGAGACACTATGCAGGATAGAAATGCCTGAGCCGTTAAAATAGAAATGAGCATAGACCTAAAACACTAACAAGTTAGTGTTAGTGGTGGCTAACGAGTCATTTCTTTTGAGAATTGAGAATGAGGGAAAGTGAAGAGCATGGTAGGAAAAACAGTGGGCTTCAGGATATCCTTCCACAATTTATCAACACTGAAGGAATTTGACCAGAGTCAACCAAAGGCAAAAACAACTTTTAACGTGTTACTGCCACTGCTTACCATTAGGTGTCAGTGGAATGCAAACACAGTAGCAAAGACAGCAATTGGAAGCTCTTTGCTTGAATACCCATAGGAACCACAAACATGCTTACTAAGGACAAAATACAGATGCTGACTTTAACCAAGTTAGTCCGTCTAGTCCATCACAATACTTCATTCAATGTGGGGCTAATCAAAATTGTCCTATCATCCCTTTTTGTCATTTGCCATAGTAACTATCCAATGTCTTTATGTTTCGGGTTTAACTAACATGCAAAGTTAGGTTGAATTGTTGCCACTGTGGTCTTCACATGACTAAGATACACAATAAGAAGTAATTTTCCGACTACTTGGTGTGTAAGTTTGACGAGAGGAATCTTTACATGGCAAAGGAAAGTTAGCAGATGAAGTATCTATTGTTTTATGGGCTCCACGAGGGGGCAGGATTTGCTTTCATCTCACGCTCTGATGTTAGGATGAGGAATCTGAAATGAATGTCCAAGGGTCGATAGCAGACAGTGCCCCAAACAGCAATAAATGCACATTCATAAGTGACCATTAACGCTAATATTCCTCTAGTGGCCAAGACCTCGTAAAACATATTAACTCCAATACTGAGATTACACAACGTTTCTCAGAAACAGGCCACTAGTTATCAGTTCCTCCGAGGACGATTCCTGTTATAGAAGGGCTTTGAAATGTTTTCAAAAGTCACGATTTTATGAGATATACACCTTCTCTGTAATAAAGGGATTATATTCTGACCTGAGAATGCAAATACTATGGGGAAAATTAATGATTCAGGAGGGAAAGGGAGGGCAAGTTTGGAGGGTGTGAAGCAAGGAGAAAGATGTTTTGAAAGATGATGAAAAGCTAGGAAACTGCTGGCTCACACACACACACACCCAGAATTAAGTGACCCGCACACTTAGAGCTATATGCCAGCTTTCCTAATCGTCAAGGAGACAATTCATTTCAATAATTTTGGAGGCTAGAGAATCAAAGGCACTGAGTAAGATTCTGATGATAAGTTAAATAATGGACTATAACCTTCAAATTGTAGATTGCTTTAAGTTAACTAATGGAGTGGCTTGAAGTGGTATTCAATCTTTAAAGAAACTGGGAAGGCAACACATACAAATGGATGACTTATACTTGTTTCTTCATATATTTAAACTGATTAATAAATTCTTTAATTAAAAAGCTCAGAAAATGCCTAGAGGATGGTTTGGTCTTCATTATTATTTTTTTTACACAGGCACTCCCTATCTAGTCCTTGTAGACTGGCCTTAAACTCACTAAGATATGCCCACCTCTACCACCATACCCAGCTTAGTATTCATTATTCTTAAAAATACTATAGTTTACACTTTCAATATTTTATATTTAATAACATCACTTTATAATTTTAGGTACCATTAGGAATTTTATACCCATTTATAGGAATAAATCATCCATCTGGCCAATAATGCTTATCTATTCTTTAGGTTTAAATTTGTGTATTCTATGCAGACATAGATGTTGAAAAAAACTCTAGGAATACTGTTAACAAATGCTACCAATTAATAGGTTTAAAGCTTCAAGGTTTAAAGCTTCAAGTTTTAGTGGTGAAAATACTTAATTTGCACTAAATAGACAATGTGGATTAGAGGTGGGAGATAAATTTAGGAAGGGGCCTGATTAACAGACTCATCCTGAAGGGAGCCCCAGGGCTCCCTGTCCATGCTTGAACCAGAAGTTTCTATGAAAAATTTCAGGGGAAATCTTTCTAGGTTCTCATTATGTGTATCCAAGCTCTGATCCGGACTCTGAAGACATTGCACTAATACAATTAAATTCCATTATCAGAGCCCAGGTCTGACTTGTCAGCAGGTAGCTATCATTTAGCAGAAAGTGATTGAAATGTGACTGGGTCAAATGTATCAATTTCCAGAAAACGTAACATGCAGATGATCAATGTAAATCACACTGCGTTTCCATATTCGACAAATGTGTTCAATTTCATTCTCTGAAGTATTTGTGTGGCTATGCAGGATGCTAAGGCTCGTCATTTCCAATATTATAAGTATCTATTACAGATACTGGTCTTGATGCTTAGTTTAAAAAGAAAGGAAACTCTTTTGAGAGTTCAGTGCACTGGGGATTTCTACCAATATTTCTCTTCTAAGGTAAAGCATTATATGTTACCTGGAAATTGTCCGTTGCAGTCTTCTTGAAGTTCTCTGTCTTCCCTTTTGAAAACTGCATGTGCTTTCCTCCCCCAACCTTTATCCCATTGAGAGCAGAGAATTGAAATTCAAATGCAGCATGGGATGTCTGGCTACTGACCTTTTCATCTGTACCATATGTGCCAATGTCGTCTGTGAAGGAAAAGCTAAGAGCGAATGTGGTTATTGCTAGATGTGGCTTCCTCCTGCTTGCCTAAGTGAGAGAGTGTGCTGGAGAATGAGGTTGAATGAAGGGGTCCAGCCTCCCTGCCCCTATGATTCAATGTCCTCCTTCTTGCCATATTCCTGATCTTGGAAAAATCAATGGGACTCAACTTGCCCTTAAAGCGTGAAGAGACCAGATTGTAGATGTGTTCAAAAGTTCAAACCTTGGGTATTCTGTTGAAAGCACCCTTTCAAAATACTTAATTATTAAGCGTACAGAAACCCTTTATTTGGTGGATTGTTTTTCCTTCCTCTTGGTTTTTTACAGCAGGAAGTATTAAATGTCAAGAAAAGTATCATGCTACTACCCAAATTGCCTGTTAACTATACCGATTCAGACACTGGTAACATTGAAAATCATTTCGTTTCAGCCACATCGTCCTGCGTTCACTCATGACAACATTCAAGGTGGGGGTGAACCGTAAGTACTCTTCTTCTCTTCTAAATCCAAGACTAACCTTGACCCACAAGACATATAACAGATGTACCTGACAGAGGACAGTAGGACTTTGTAAGTAAGAGGGATCGAACAGTGAACATGAGGTGTCCAGCACAAGAGATCACACTGTTCTGCTTTATCAATGAGATCAGACTCTAATGCACGAAGGAAAACAAAAGGACTGGAGAGATGGCTCCATGGTTAAGAGCACTGGCTACTCTCCCAGGGGACCTAAGTTCAATGCTCTGCATCCACATGGGGGCTCACAACCATCTGTAACTCCAGTTCCAGGAGACCCAACAGCCTCTCCTATCCTCTGTGGGTTTCAGACACTCATAGGGCACAGATAGATACATGCAAACAAAACATGTATACACATAAAATGAATAAATAACAAAGGGAAACCTTCCAATGTTGTAGTGACTCCTACAATTTATAAATCCATCTCTTCATCCACTGGCTGTGTAACTAGTAACCACAACTTTAACGACAGACAACCAACCCATGCCCTAATTTTGCTTTTCCACCTATTTGAAAACTTCAAAGGTATGCCTAAGCTCTACCTTAGTAGTATAATTCCAAAATTATAACCCATGCTTCAAAATGTCTTTTGAAAATAGCAGTATTAAAACACTCCCTACTGTTCAGATACGTGATATAATTTCCACCACACAGAGAATGAACTTTTTTGAATGTTCCTGATACATACATAAAACCAACCTACAGGCATCACACGTTGCCTTTAAGAGCCCCATTTGTCTTTCTCTGGCCCCGTTTACAATAGATACTCAGAGGTTATCCACTTCCTATTGGCTCCTGCCTATGCTGAGTCAAAAGAGACCTCTGGAAGCCATGGCCAGTGTCCTCAGCCTTTCTCTGTGCATCTGACTGAGCCTTCTGCCCAAACTCTGCTCTCTCAGTTAGAAACATGCTGACCAAGACTCTCCTTTGTGGGCAGGCTTGGTGTGGAAATGGTGTTTTCAGCACAAAAGAGCCCCTCCTTGGGTTAAGAATATGCTCTTCAGAACGCATCACTCTCTGAATGTGCCTCTTGCACAGTGTGGCCAGGAAGGTGTTCTTATGAAGACGTCTTTATCCCAAACAGACTAGAAGTAATAATCATTGGCAAACCTCACCTAACTGGAAAAATTTTAAAATGACTTGCAATAATGCTTCTGTTGCTCCTTTACATGTGCAAAGAATGATGGGATTAAATCACAAAAAAATACACTCCAGAGCTGTTTAGGGTGATGACGTTGCTAGCATGTTCTATTAAGCAAGCATGTTCTATTAAGCAACACAAGTTGTGTTCTGTTGTCCTTTGTTGTGTTATAGGCAGCTATCGTCATTGGGCTATTCTAATATCACAGAGCCCACAGGTAGGAAAAACACACTTCCAAGCCTTGCTTTAGATCTTACCCTTTATCAAATTTATGTTTCATTGCTGCCTTAATTAGAGGGATTATAGGAGGTTAGCTCATCACATACATTTAGAAAAATACTTTGTAAAGAAAAGTAGAAACCTAAGCCATCTTGCTAATAGTTTTGAGTTTGGCTCAGCATTTCTTAAGTGACAAATTTATGGCTGAGGCCATCTTGACCCCACTACCACATCATCATTTGCCAACATATTTCAAAGCAGCATTTTTTTTATTTAATTGGGCTACATTTCCTGTCATACAACACTGATTTTGAGAACCAGCAGAGGTAAAAGTATTTCCAGGAAGTATTTCCATAAAAACTTTTTTGGTGTGATCTAATTAAACCACTATGGTAAATAAATTCTGACAAGAGTGTACTTGGCTTTCATTCTATGAAAATAAGCTGGGAGTCTATGCCAATTCAGGTTTGTTAGTTCTGAGGACCCTCAGAGTCTTCAAGCACCTGGAGTTTGGCCTTAAATGGGCTAGAGACTGAGAAGTTCAGAGAATCCCAAAGAGACTGCAGAGTGCATCCATCAGCATAGCAACCAGGTCTGACCATCTCCCTCAAGCTCCAGAAGGGACAAGGGGTCTTGTTGAAATTCCATTTCTGTCACCAACAGCCTCAGGTGCTAACCAACACACAAACAACAAAATGGCTTTCCTCTTCTCCTAAGGTTGGCTCCAAGCAAACATCCTGGTGAGGTGGCCCCTACCAGTCTTATTTGCCACCTCTTCTTGGGTCTGTCTCTGTTTCTATCAATGACCAGAAGCTGAAGCCTCTCCTAACAAAAAGATGTCAGAGGACTGCAAAGGGTGCAAAGATTATAAATGGATAAAATTGTCCACTAGAAGGGAACATTATTAACTAGAGAAGAATTCTCTAATGTGGGGATTTGGAGGTTGGGGAGGCAAGCTAGAGATGATGATGGTTTTTTCAGAAAGGCAAAGCTCTTTCCTACAACTCCTGGAAGCCAACTTTATCTGTATCCCATGATCAGGAGACACTCAAGAACAGAAAGGGAGCCAATGAAGTTGTTGCACATTTACAGCACAATGTTTTAATTCAAGTACCAGAATATTCTACAAAATATGATTTTTCTAACTTGATAAAGTAATTAGAAATAAAGCATTCTTTTCCAAAGTAGAATTCAGTATTACCTATTTTTTTAATGGTGGCCTAAAATAAATCCAAAGTGCCCCAGAATGTTATTAATGTTTTCTTAGATTAGCACAATTATATGACAGTTATAAAAAGCAATAGAAAAAATTACCACTCCTTTTAATCCTCTGACTATACCAATGACAGATAAGTGATATCATGAAAATTTTCCATTAACTGCATATCAAATTCTTCCTGGCCTTCTTAGCCTCCAAAATGTCAGTCTTTACTTTCTCAAGTGCTGGTCCATGTTGATAACCACAAAACTTAATAGTAATAAAAGTCAATGTCAAAGAGTCAGTATTCAAACATATTACAGATCAATGTCACCATCTCTCTATCAAAGAGTTCCGACAAGAAAAAACAGTGACATCCTTTCAGTAATTCTTTCTCTCAATGATGATTTCACAGAAGACTTTTAACTCAAGCACAGTTTCTTTTCCCAGACACATTTTTATGTGTGTATGATCTACTAGTTGGGCCAGGTCATGGATGGACATGCATAAAGCCTCACCTATGACTCAAGGTCATAGGTGAATTGCATGAAGTCTTCACATCTCAAAACCTGATTCCTATTGTAAAGCTAATCTTCTTTAAAGGATTTCCTATGATAAATGCATAGTTTCTTTTTGTAATAATCCCCACATCATTTACAAAATGTGTACGTGTGTGAAATATTTTGTACAACCCAATTTAGAATCATTTGAGATTTCCATTTCCAAGCCTTCATTATTTATTTATGGTTATGGCTAGCTAACTCTGCAATCCCTCATAATGGGCTGTATAATACAAATACCATTTATTTTATCTTCTTATGTAGCACCCAGATGACAAATGTTATATGTCTAGACAATTTAAATGCAGATCTAACCTACTAATATCAAAATGGTATTGCCCAACTCATAAAAATTATAATCTTCCCTGAATATTTTTCATTGTAGGTTTTGAAATGTTATTAAAGTTGGGTGATTCCCATGAGATTCTAAATGTTTCCATTGAATTTACTTGTTTATCCAAGACTTAACATTGCTAACAAGGCATATTAATAATAGAAATGTTAGAGATGAAATGAGTGTTATACTAACTTCTATAACTTCATGAAGATATGAAGTAAATTAAACATGCCCATTTGTCCTGTTTAAGGTTTCAGGCTCTGTATAACTATACTCCTAGGAATGAAGATGAGCTGGAACTCAGAGAAAGTGACGTTGTTGATGTGATGGAGAAGTGCGATGACGGATGGTTCGTGGGTATGTGCTCATTTATTCTGTTTGTTCAAATTTGCTCACTTGCATAGTTCACTGAGAAAGTCAATCTCTCTTTGAATTCATTCTGTACTATCTGTCCCAAAGCCGTTGCTTTTAATGAATTGTAGCATTTATTGCTATGCATATATGTGATTTTCTGCTAGTTTTACTTCAACCCAACCAGGAAAATTTCTTTAAATAGCACCAATTAGCTATGGCTATGATGTCACAATAACAATTACAAAAACACACCTTTGCTCTGTTTGATGGAAAATGTTAGCTGTCAACAGGGGAAATGTCATTTGAAGGGGAACAAGATGAAATTTTTGCTAGAACTCATGTAGCCAATCCTAAAAGTCTAGGGATCCTCCTCAGCTTCAGTTAGGAGAAGGAAGAACTAACTTTGTTGCCACTTCAAAAGCAGAGTTACCATCTTAGAGACTGAAAGCTCAGCCATGGAGTACATGCTTAACATCCCCCACTGCTCAACTGTCCAGTCCCCAGCACGAAAAGAGATGGGGAGGAAGAGATGAGCAAGAGGAGGAAACAACATTCGGTCTTCTCAGAAAATATTGGTAGACAAATGTATACACCCAGACACAAAGAAAAGAGGTGACAAGCAAAAGTGTGGGGAAGAGCTGGGGAGGCTGGAGACAGTTAAGATGATCTGGGTTCCATTAACTGTCTATGACTCCAGTTCTAGAGGCATCTAACACACGTTCTAACCTCCATAACCACTATGCACAGGTGGAGCATAAACATACATTCAGGGAAAACACCCATACTCATAAAATTTTTAAAAATAAAAATGTGGGAATGAAATCTTTCTCTGTACTAGCCCAGCAGTAGTGAGATAATAAAAGAACTTCAGCCAGGTAGGAGACACATGCCTTAGGTTCTATAATTTCTATTAATCCCCACAAAAAGAAGAGAAGTGGTTTACATATATGGTTTTCAGGGGTTGCAAACAAACCAGTAAGTTATAGAAGGTTAATGAGAAATGAAATTTCAGAGGCCCCACCCAATCTACTACACTAAAACACAAAATAATTTTTATACAGACTTTACAGAAAGCATCTGAAGAATTGGGGCATATGAAACCAAGGGGGGCTGTGAGAATAGCCATGCACGCACTTGGTTTAACTGTCCATGTTAGAAATCATTTTCAGTGTTTGAACTCCATTCCACACGCCCGCACAAGCAGTAGCCAATCTTCTACTTTTTAAAAATTTAGAATTTTTTAACTTGCTCAGAATTATGTATTTTGTTAAGAAGCATAACAGTGCCTTTGTAGTAAGTGAGGTAGCACTGAGCATGAGATTAGAGCACTTGTGATATTGGCAGTGTCCCATGGAGTGGCCGTGTGGCACTGCAGATGGGGCCTCCTGCTCCATCAATCCTTAACTCTTATGTATATCCCTTGCTCATCAGTCATCTTGTCCCATTGCAAGCCCCACAGTTATCTCTTACTCCTTTTCTGTCTTCGTGGTGATCTGAGTCCTACCACCCATCCCTCTGCACAATTGTCTTTCTCTCTAGACTGGGAGGCTGGACTTCCCCATTTAGCTCCATGTGATGAATATGTATCACTTATGCAAATGAAACAATGATGACATCAGGCAGGACACTTAAATTTCCTGCTTTCTCCTTCTATTGTCATCAAGTGAGTTTTCTATATTCCCTTCCCAAACTATTTAGGGCTTGCTCCCTTGGTGTGAACCCTTGTAGACAGAAGTCTTCGAGCAGACATAGTACCTGACATTCTGACATTGCTGTTACACACCTTTTCATTTATTGCTTCTGTTTTCAGGAACCTCAAGAAGAACCAAATTCTTTGGTACCTTTCCCGGAAACTATGTCAAGAGGCTGTGAATCACCTTCCTCCTTATTTACTCCACATTTCAACAACACATCTGCAGAACTCACCTGAAATGTCCCCGCAGGCCTGTTGCTGTCTTGCCTTATGGTTTCCACAGGCCATCTCCATCTCCACCTGCTGCCACCAGATCACCAGCAGTGACTGCCGCTGGGAGCTTCAGGGAAATGTGGCAAATTTACACCCTCATAAATGCAGTTTCCTGCTTTCTGCCCTGAACTTTTAAATGTCTGTGATATGGAATAAGAATGAAAGTCATCATAATTTTAAAAAGTGGAATAGTTGAGGCAGAAAGAAAGAAAGAAAGAAAGAAAGAAAGAAAGAAAGAAAGAAAGAAAGAAAAAGGGAGGAAGGAAGAAACAAGAAAAGAAAGAAAGGGGACTCTCCAGAGGCTTTCTGGTCTCATGGCTCTATTCCCACCTCTCTGGAAGGTGTTCTGTCCTCAGGAAGCCAGAAGACTGTTTTCTGAAATGCTATAGTTTGCATTTTCACCCTAAGCTTGGCAGTATATTTTTCTTTCACAAGTTTGCCTAGTGCCCTGGTTTACACTATATGACAACTATACTTCAGCTATTGTTTGCCTGCACTTCTCATATATTGTTTTATGCACAGTGATCATAAAATCTAGAACGAGTAGGAAAGTTCATTGGGATGGGTGTGATTTTTGTTAATTGCATTAAGTTTTCACATAAGAGTCTTTTCCTGCCCAATTTCTGTGTGTGTGTACTTATCAGAAGTGCAAACAGTGAGTAATTAAGATCCCTTGGTCACTACCATGACTATCATGAAGGTTTAGCCACACTGCAGGACAAATCGTGTTGTAAATTTGCATTGCTATTTTATATTAAAATATAATCATCAGCATCGTGGACAATGAGCTCTTAGTGTTTATTTATCTGTTAAAACTTAAAAGCAGTGTTAGTAAGAGGGGCAAAGAGATGAAAGTAATACCCATAGGTAAGGTTCACTGTGTGTACACTTATACGTTCGATTGTATAAGGACAAATAAATCATATGCTGTGTTGTACATTTATGGAAATGTAAAAAAATTCCACATTATTTTATAGAGTACTTCAGGAGCATCCTGAGTGTTAAGGCTGGCTTTAGCAAGGATTATGATCAATACACTTATTTTTACTACAATAATTATTTTTCTTCTATGGAACCCAGAATCCTGACTCCATTTGCAGACAGGAATATATATGTTGAGCCTGATTTTTCTGGTGTGTGTAACATACTTCCTAAAAATAATAAATTAGGCACTTTTAGATATAATAGTTAAATCATTCAGGTTGTATTTTTTGCCCCCAAAACAGCTCTACAAAACAATACCAAACCTGAAAGATTTAATGGATTTGCAGTGCCTGTGTTCCACCATACCCTGAAACTTAGCTTTGTATTTCAAATGAATTTGCATAAGACCTGTTCCTCTTTGAATCTTTAGCACCTTATAGGCAGAAATTTTTATGGCTTCCCTCCTGTGAGCAATGCCTGATCTCCCACAACATATAGACTCTAGTATTTTGTACATATGGAGTTTTTTTGTACAGACTATTTACTTGTTCAGAAGACAGGGATTTCCCAATTTGGTCTTTATCCTGCACTTAAACTGAGTTTAAACTCTTTCAGCAGAATGCTTCTTATGATATCTTATGATATCTTGTGAATCTAGAAGAGAGCATCAACACAAAATTCTATGAGTTGAAAAGATATTTTTGTAGCCAATCTAAAATGCGCGTAAATCTGGCTACAGAGGAACATCATTAGGGGGAGAATAAAACATACCTTTGAGAAACCCACTTAACTGTCCAGTTCACAGCCAGCTTTATTAGAAAAACTTGGGATTGGAAATCAGTTGGCCACACGCAGCTTTGCTGATGAATGAACACTACTTTTTCACACCATTTATGAAAACAAATCTTCAACTCTGTTGCCTGTTATATTTAAGAAAATTTGCTGTTTCTACTCTCTGTATCTGATTTTAAAAGGAAAAAAATATTCATACCTGGCTTTCAGGTCATTGACTTTGAATTCTTACAAGCAAAGGTCATTGTGTTTTTCTTGAGTAGATAATAAATTTTGCTTGAAAGTACTTCCACTTTTCTTTGGCATTTATGTAAACTCTGTGTTTTAAGTTGAAACATTTAGCCCATGTTCTCTTGATACTCAAAAACGGAGAAATACATGTTTGCATCAACTCAGAAGAGAATTTTAAAAATCTACTACCAAAGGCCACTTGCTAAATCTTCTTTACTTAAATATTGCTCCTTGGCCAAAGTGACATCTCAAAATACCCCTGCTTCAAATCTGGCCATTTTCCAAGAAGTTACAAATATTGTAATTTATGAGCACCTGTCTTGGAACTTTTAAGTACTTCTCCTAAAGAACTTTAGCATCAATGGTCTCTTGATGAATTTCAAAGCTGCTGAAGCAGAGGGATCACGCTTTTCTGTCACACAAATAGCAAAGAGTTACCACTAGTACTTGGGTTCTTTCTAATATTATCTTAGTCCCTTCTTCATCCATCTATTCTAACCCACATCCACACCTGTCAAATAATCAACAGCATGGTCCTCTCAAGGTCCTCAGTTCTTAAGCAAGTCTTATTGCCTCAACAGCCATTCAGGTCTCCTCTGTTCTGCTGGGTAATTTCTGACTATCTCTAGATCTCTATTGAGAGGCACTGCACTGAGAGGTGTGGTGGGAAGACTAAACCTCACAGAACTTTTGCAGTTCTATTTTTACCTGAGCGCTGGTCAGTCACTTAAGTCTATACATCTGAATCTGTCCCTCCAGGTCAATGGAAGGCTAACAGGAAGGGATGCTGGTATCTATGGATCACATGTTAAGCCCTACTTTAACTGCATCATCCCTGGAAACAAGCGGGTTCTGTTCTTAACTTGCTCAAAAGCTGGGAGAATCTGTTTAAGCGGCCATGTGCTTTCATATCTACTTACTGCCAGATCTCTCTTTGTAGGTGGTCAGTTTGTGTGGCCTGATAATTTCTTCCCACTCTTTTCCAGATTTTGGGCACAAAGGAGGAAATTATTTATAGAATCGTCTGATTTCAAAAGATTAAGTACTCTAGCAACATCTCAGAGTCCATTTATTTAAAGGATTTTTTCAGCCTCCTCTCCAGATGGTAACTCTTTAAGGATTGTTTATGTATCAATTATGTTTTCAAATAATTTACTCCTCACTAATAATGAGCGTCAGAGCCCAAGTAGAAATTGACCTTAGAAATAGAATGTCCCACAGTAGGGACTTGCTTATGGAACAAATTCAGTCTGCTATCTGGTATTGGATATCCTACCAGCTGAGAATGGTTTGTACAGAGAACAGCAGCTCTCAATTTGATGATGGGATCCCTATCTGAATTAAATGAAATGATATTCCTCCCAAATTCCTTTATTTCCATTTGACCTTATGCTAGAAAATTGCCCATCATTTTTATGCTCACATTCTTACATTCATCAATGAAAACTGGCAGAGATGTGTTTTCTGTTTGTAATGTAAATTTAGGTGTGGCACTCTTGGTTTTCCCTCTAGTTCCACTACTGAAGTGCTGTCTGTCCCTTTACAGAAACTGGCTTATGAAAATGTGTGACTGAAGCTAATCGTTAGCCATACATCTGGAAAATGACGAGAAAGAAAGGAAAGTTAAGTGGCTGCTACACATCAAGCCATTCAGACCCATGGTCTATGTTCTTATCCTCACAGTCAAACTAGGAGGAAGTCTGTGTTTGTGTTGTGCCCACTCTACAGATGAGGCACTGAGAGCTGCTGTGAGAGGCTCAATGACTTCTTTCGTGTGACGTGTGGTGGCATGTGGGAGAAGTTGGACTCAGGGCCTGATGTATCTCTCCCCCAAGCCTGTATGTTGCCTTCTGTATCACCCAACCTTGGTGATAAGCACATCATTGATCAAACAAACAAGTCAGAATTAACTATCTCCACTCATCTACTCTTTCCCCTTCCCCATTCACAGACATTTTGCTATGGCAACCTCCCCTTAACATCATCTTAATATGCACATGTGATGAGAAAGAGTGGGCACCCAATACAGCACTAGAGTACCTCCCCCAAGGAAAGCTCACTCAGGCTTCTGAAATACACAGTGACTGTATCTGTGAGTTATGATTTACCAAGGCTCTGGAGGCCATGGCCTGTGAGCCAGCTCAGCAGCCAATGGAGTTTCAGGGAAGTGTTTGGTATTCAAGCCACTTGGAGACAGGCAAGTCCAACCTGCTCTAGGAACACAGAGTACTCACTGGATAGCTTTTAAATATACACAGTCCCAGGATACACTAGTTATTCTCTGCTGGATGACTGTCTCTGGGGCTCAGAGCCTTAGTTCACTGCTAAATTCAGCCCCTCGGGACCTCAGGAAAGTTCCATCTGAGCTCATACACATACATATATCTTGACCCATAAAACTTGGAGCACAAGACAGAAATCAGCCTAGCAAATCTTCACCTGTTCCTTTGGGGTTTCTTGTTTCAACCTCCCCCTAAAATATGATGGGTGACTCAGTCATCCTTGTGTCTTCTAAAAATAAATGCCATTTCAGTCAAACTCTTGTTACTATTAACACTCTTAGACAGGTGCCAAGTCTTGCAAGAGCTCAAGGCAAGAGCTCAAGGATGAGTCCTTCAAGCATTTTTGATTTTTTAAATTTAACAATCATTAGACATTTTGTACAAAAAAATAGAAAATAGAAATGCACCAAAGAAGGAAACATTATAAATCCCACTTGAGTGTTGTGCTTTGAAATTTATCTATCCAGAGTTTTTGTGTGTGTGTGTGTGTGTGTGTGTGTGTGTGTGTGTGTGTCTGTTTGTACATCAAATGTGATACATGTATGTGCAGACATTCTGGGGCCAAATTGAACACACTCTTTAATATTCTGCAACTATCTCTGAGTGGGACTCTAGAGTCGGTTCATTAAGTGAATTTGACATTAACAAAGCATTTTAAGGATGAAAAGTCATCTTTGATCCCCAGGATTCATGAAACTATAATCAACTCAAATTCCCAAGGCCAAGAATTGCTTGGGTATAACTAGATGTAAAACCCAATGGAATCCTAAGACTTTACCAAGGAGGGAAGAAGGAAAGATGAAGAAAAATAAAATACTATTTATCATCCCCTAAAAACATTGGGCATCTTTCCAACATCTTTCCAATAATTTCCAAAATATTAAGCTGTGTAAATGTGGAAACTGCAGAACAGTTGGGTATAACAGCCAAACCCTCCTGGAAAGTACAAAGGGCACAAGTTCTGAATCAATACTGCCAGAACAGATAACAACTTATTTTGGAAAAAAATAATATAGAAAAGTTAGAAATAAAACATTTTTATGTGTTCCCATGGTTCATCTCACTTGGGACATTTTGTCCCTCCCCTGGAACATTTGGCAAGGTAGAAAGACACTTTTGGTGATCAGAATGGGAATGTTCTTGTCCTCTAGTGTCATCACTAGTGTGTCATTTAGTGTGTCATCAGACCAAGGATACTGACAACTTCCCACAAGGCCAAGGATGCCAATAATGTCCCCTAATAAACAGAAAGGCTTCTACAGCAAATCATCAAGCTAACTATCTCTACTATTGAGGATCATAAATTCCTCCCTAGGGTAACTCTGATGTTTAAGGGAGATTTGTATTATAAATAATATGGGGCCAGGTTATTTTAATCCTGAATTGGAGAACGAATAGCAATAACCATGGTTACTATCTTTGGCCCAATGACTGACAAACCCAGATCCTCTGGCAGAAAATAGCCATCTTCCCCAATTTTGGAGGTGAGTCTAGAACATATAGTCAGGAAAGGGAAGGTAAGTAAAGAGACATGACAAAATTGGAACTAAATGATGTCTGTAGGTAAAATTCATCTCTGCCAAGTGTCTTAGAGGAGAGCCAAGGCCAAGATCAAAGAGCCAGCAGATTTGATGTCTGAGAGAGCACCCTTCTCCTCATAGATGGCTATTTCCTTTCTGTGCCCTTTCTTGAAGGAAGAAGGGAGCTCTCAGTTCCCCTCTTATTAGGCACCAATGCCATTCCTAATACTTCTACTCCATTACCCACACAACTACAAAAAGGCACCATTTCCATATAACATCATAATGGAGTTTAACAATTGAATCTGATAGAGGACATGGGCATTCTGTTTACTGCACCAAGATTCACTTCACACATGCTTCTTCCATGATGACAATGCCCTCAATGAGAAGCACACCTATTTCTAAGTCATAATTCCATAACTAACAAAAGACATATTGAGCATACTGAGTGAGGGCTATGGAGATGACTCAGTGAGTAAATTGATCGTGGGCCCAAGGAGGAAGACCAGAGTTCAGATCTCCAGCATTCACAAGGCAGCATGGTTTTGTGCTGAAAGTTGGGGAGGTAGGTTCCCTGGAACTTATGCAGCTTAGCCAGTTGGTGAGCTCTAGGCTACAGGTTCAGTGAGAGATTCTCAAAACAGAGAGAGGGGGAGGGAGAGAGAAAGAAAGAAGGAAAGAAGGAACGAAGGAAAAATCATGATGAAGTGAAGCAAAGTAAAGAGTGACTGAGGAAGAAGACACCTGAGCCTCTACACTAAGAAAACACACAAGTACATGCACACACACACAAAAAAAAAAAAAAAATAAGGGCTGTGTGCTGAAGAGGCAAAGAATCATCGGGAAACAGGTACCTTGAGCTCATCTGAGGTTGTGTCAGGTTCTCTAGTCAGCCCCTTATCTCAAAGATCAGACTATTTGTTCTCTTTTGTTTCATCTTGTGTGCTTAATCATTTACTTACAACATGAACACAAATAAACGTTTAGAAAGGCCTCCAGAGGGGACTATTGGCACGAAAAAATTCCATTCTGCAAGGAACAGAGGATGGCAGTGAAACATTGGATCATCTATGAAATGACCCCATTCAGGAGTGTGACTTTGAGTGCTCATACTGTGCATATTACATATGAAGCATTAAAGTGAGATAAAACATTACAAGTAATTACAAATATTATATACATGCATTACAGTGGGCAATTGTAAAAATATCAGTATTCTTTACCAATGTGGAAACATAGATAAGATCATC